AAGCACTTTTAAGATTAAAAGAATTATATAATTATATATATACAATGTATATATATAGAGAGAAAATCCGACGCACAAAGACGCCGCGCGCAAAACCGCCCCCCCCCCCCCCTCGCAAAAAAGCACATCGATCACGATATTAAAAAAAAATCTTATGAGACAGCATTCACTCACAATCACACAGGCACGTTAACTTTATTCTGTTACAAAAAAAAAAAAAAAAAAAAAAAAAAAAAACCATGTATTTTCTGTATCACGGAAAAATTCAATTGAGAAATAAGATCAGATACGCTAAGATATGCAAACTTGTTTTTAAAAACGTTTATTCCTTTTATAAACATACATGAAAAAAATATACGTACGTTCCCTTCTTCCATGCAAGCGGATTTTAAAAATTTTACGTTTTTGAACATTTTATTTAAATGTTTAAAGCTCTAGGTTTCCATTGTTTATACAATTCATTTTCGTCGCCTGTCTTAGTAATGGAGTAGAAACGTAGTAAATAGGCAAATAAAGGACAAATGAATTATTTATATTCCGTACCTTAAATTGAAACTTTCTTTGAATTTATACATCAAATTGACACCGCCTTTTAGTTTCTAAATTTTTTTAAAAAAGTAAATCACAATTAAAATAGGTTACAAATATTTCCACACATTAACGGCCCTTTTGTTATTTTGTGGCACTTGTACCCTGTTTCACTTGAACACAATATTTGTATATTTCTTACAAGGACCGCTACTATGATCTCAAAAAATATTTATGTATGTATAATATTGTATAATTTAATCAGAGAGATAGGAATTGTGTTGTTCTTGTCTCTTTTTATTAAATGTAGTTTTATGTACACTAAAAGGTGCTTGACTTTTCTGTGGGAAATAACAGTTCCATTAAAATTTTGACGAAATCTATTTGAAAACTAAACTGAATGAATACTGGTAGTGGAGCCTCATTTATACGGACGCTTTGGTTCCTAGTCAATTTGTCCGGATATGTGAAGCGTCCGGATATCGGAATTATCAGTTAAACAAGACAAAATAACGTTAAAAATTTTCGTTCCGATGAAACATTGTCCGGATACTAAAGCATCCAGATATCTGGAGTTCGGATATCTGAAGGTACACTGCATTTTTATGCAAGAACGGCAGGCCCTTAGGAAGCCATTTCAGTTGGGGGGGGGGGGGGGCAGACCTGTTTACTCTTACGATTTTGCCGTATTTTGTACGGATTTTTATTCTGACATACGTCTCACGTTTTGCCATTATGAAAATACGGAAATCGGAAAAAGCGTTTGTTCGGAATTTAACAGTTAGATTTCGTTATCATCCATCTTAGTTTTATGCTTTTTATCGTTGTAAGAGAGAGAGATTTCAAACACAAAAGCAATGTCAGGTTGCCAAAATGCTGTGGTATTATAAAATGACAAACACCATGTTGTTAAACCATGTTTTTGTAATCAGAAAAGCAGTTATTCGCTATTAATATTTGTAAAATTGATGGAAAATAAAATCTTTTTGGTAAATGCCAAATCTCACGGACAAATCTAATCAAATATACTGAGAGACAACGATATAAGTAAACAGGTCTGGGGGGGGGGGTATTTTTTTATTCAGTCGTGGGAACTTTCAACCACCAAATTTTCTTTGACAAGCAAAACAAATTTTTTACGGCCACGAACGGTCATTTTATTCATTTTCCTCCGTGACAATGGCTTATCAACTTGATACCTTATAAACCTTTCATATTTCGATGCGATTGTCTTATCCGATAATGAACAAGTACATGTACGTCCAACATACGTTTATGCTTTTTGTATGAGGCGGTGCTGTTAATTAAGCAATAATATACCGCTCTAATTTGACTCTCTTTCGGCTGAAAATATTTAGGCAAACGAATTTTCCCAAGTCATTACTTCAGAACAAACCAAACATATCCAAAAAAAAAAAAAAAAAACATTTGACTCGCACCGTCTGCCTGTTGCACAACTCGTTTGAAAAAGAGGGGGAGGGTTAACAGAAAAAAAAAATTTACCTTAAAAAAATCAACCAACAAAAGGGGGATATCGAAACTCGAATCATATTTCGCTGTTGGGGAGGGGGAGGGTAGGTTCAGTCTTCTTTCAGTATTATAATACATTGCATTATTCTTTTGCCCTATAGTGCATGAATTTGACTATACTGCAACAAAATGTGTGTATGTGTGTGTGTGTGGTTGCATGTGGGGCATGGAAACTTCAATGTAAATCCCTACCCCCTACCCCCGTTGCTACTTGCGCGCGACTGTAATGACCAATAATTTCTTTAAATGAAAAAAACCATGTCTTTGTTTATTTATTACTTTCCGTAGAGTCAAGTTAGGATTATTATATAAAGTCTTATCTGGTTTTCAACGGAACTTTAAGAAATTAATGTCGAGATATGCGGGGTAATTTGATACATGTTTCAGAGTTGAAGATTTCAACGCAAAATGTGACTTATTTATTTCATATTATGAATTTAATAGGCAATGAATATACATATTTCACGCTCATCAAAGTTTTTAAAGATTAGGAACATTTTATAACTTTTGGAAATTAACCTATAACAATTTGTCACATACTTTTTGCTCTTTCAGACATTGGGTATAATGCTTTTGGGAAAAGTCTAAAATAGCTGTATTTGATTTCTTATAAGATATATATTGCAATATAGTTTCCAGGGGCTTTCATTCATTCATTCATTTCATTGGGAGAATTTCCGAAATTTGAAACAATAGTAATTTCTACCATACAATTCATTTGAATGTATTTATTTGATCATTCTAAATTGGTTTTTTGAAACAAAATTTATTTTAAAATTTTGGTGGCATCCCCATCATCCGTATTTTTTCCTTAGCATATGCTAATACTGTTAATATAGTAAAAAAATTATTTATTGTTAATTGATGTAGAAGGTTTGGATCTCCCATGTTACCAGTATCTTTATTCAATCAAAGAGGGACTATGTTTCTCAGCTTAAACTTTAAACGGTCTTTTTATTTGAAGATTTTTTGGGGGGCTTGTCTTCTTACCCCCCCCCTCCCTTTTTACTTAACAGTTCACCGAAGGCTGGCTATCGGGGTACATCAGTATGACTGACTGTGAATTAAAATTAAAATGGCTAAATACACTCTTTACGTTTTAAATTATGGTATATATTTTCAGGGGAAAAAAATAGCGCTTATAAGAACGGTAATTACTATATGTGCAAAGACCTCTCATTCGCTCGTCTCTCTCTCTCTCTCTCTCTCTCTCTCTCTCCGAAAAAAATATAAAAGTATAGAATATACCTTTTAATATTTAGACTTCTTAACATGAATTCAAATTTAAGCATTTGTACATTGCTCAGAAAACAAATATGCAGCATCTTTAATTTTTTCATGCATAGACATCGTTTAAATCGCTGTTCCAGAGCTAGCAATGTGCATGTCCAATGTCCCGTATATCAACATCAAATTAAATACTAAAATAAGATTATCAATAAATTTACGTACTAAATTGTAATAATATCATATTCCTTTTAAAAAATGTCCGCATAAAGTTTCAAATTTTTGTTACACTTGAAAATCAATTTTATTTTTTGTTTACAAAATGCGGTCAACAAAAATTACTTCCGTGTTTACAATACCGCGACTTTGACGTCGTTTTCTGAGCAATGTGCCGTCAAAAGATAAGGGCCCTTTTCTCATGACGGCAGTCAATTGACTCTTGATTAACGAGACAAAATTTTCACGAATTCTGGTTATTGCTCTATATAATCTTACGGAATACTATTATGCGCGAGAATTTAAACGTTCGCGAGCATACAGTCTCGCGTAATTACGCGAAAATAAAGTTCTCGCGAATAAAAAGTGATTTACAGTATAACATGTGATTCAAGGTTTCCTGAACTCTTAAAAGCATGCATACAAATGGTCTACGCCTTAGATGATAAAAAAAAAACATTGGCATAAAAGGAAACAAGAGGCTCATGGGGCACATCGCTTACCTGAGTAACTTTGGTGATGCAGTTCTTTACCAGATTTCCCCTCTTCTTACATCTATTGTGGACCCCTAACCCCTCCAAACCCCATCTTGATTTTAATAATTTAGAATCTACACTACCCCAGGATGCTTCCACATAAGTTTCAGCTTCTTCCTGGCCCATTGTTGCTTGATAAGAAGATTTTTCCAATATATTTTCATATAAAACTAGGACTCCCTATTGCTCCCCTACCCCCAGGGGTCATGATTTTAACAATTTAGAATCTACACTATCCCCAGGACCCTTCCACATAAGTTTCAGCTTTCCTGGCCCACTGGTTCCTAAGAAGATTTTTAAAGATGTTTCCTATATGTTTCTATGTAAAACTTGAATTCCCTATTCTGGCCCCGCCCTACCCCTGGGGGTCTTGATTTTTACCATTTAGAATCTACACTACCCCAGGACCCTTCCACATAAGTTTCAGCTTTTCTGGAACACTGTTTCTTGAGAAGAAGATTTTTTATAAAGATTTTTCTTATATATTTTCTATGTAAAACTTGGATTCCATATTGTGGCCCCTCCCTACCCCTGTGGGTCATGATTTTTACAATTTAGAATCTACACTTCCCAGAATCCTTCCACATAAGTTTCAGTTTTTCTGGCCCTGTGGTTCTTAAAGATAATATTCTTAATGACCACACCCTATTTTTGTATTTTTTTGATTATCTCCCCTTGGAAGAGGACCTGGCCCTTTATTTTAACAATTTAAATTCCCCTTCACCCAAGGATGCTTTGTACCAAGTTTGGTTAAAATTGGCCCAGTGCTTCTCGAGAAGAAGTTGAAAATGAGAAAAGTTAACAGACAGACGGACAGACAAACGGACAGCTGGACGACGGACAATGGGTGATCAGAAAAGCTAACCTGAGCTTTCAGCTCAGGTGAGCTAAAAACTATACAGCCAAGCAATAACAGCTTTTGTAATAGGATAATTTATAAATACAGCTGCAAGTCAAAAAGTGGAGAACAAAAAACATTAAGGTTATGCATGGTTTATTACCCTTTTATACTAAAATATTCTCCTCCTTTTCCAGTTGTTACAGCAAAAGCCGAGATGTCGTAGCTAGACTCTAATACTCTATAGCGACTAAACCAGTTCGTCTTTGTTGACCCTGTTGCGTTAAAAACAAAGTACTGTGCCTCGGTGCCCCCAGCGTAGTAGGACACTCTTATCTGAAAAAGATCCTTAATAAATCCTTTTTTCTACAGGCTTGGTAAATGTTGTCTTCAATTCTTTGTTTAAATAAATTATTTTAATTAATCATAATAAGTGACGATATGTAATTCTGCTTTACAAGATACATGTGCAGTTTTTTATGCTTATTTCCTTTAAGAACCCTCTCTACACTGCATACTAAAAAGTTCTCATTCTAAGGTATTTTTCTACAGTTAGAGTAATCTGCCCTTAGATCTAAATTCTAAAAAATAGAAATTTACAATATATTACTCAATTTGTAATCAGTCTTAATATTCTTCACATTTTAAAAGACCAAGATAAATTAACTGAACATGTTATTTACATGCATTTTCTCTATTGAAGTAATTACCAGTGATTTCTTTTCAGTACTACTGTGTTGTCTTTGAACAGTTTTCCCGGGATAAATACCACGCACCATACTGTGAAAATTTAATACATTAGCTCAATATTAACTCCTTTATACAATATTTTTCTCAGTGTCCCAAAAAAAATTGCACTGGTGTAGAGAGGGTCCTTAATTAAATCTTTTGTTTACACAGGAATGTACCTTATATATATCATTACTTTGCCAGTTATTAAACACCTCGGATTTATAGTGGTCTAGGACCTGATTGGTCAGTTGTTGGGCTGCAAGATTGTTTATGTTACGAGTGTTGTCAGAAGTAAATAATTCGTATGCCCCAAACGGTCCTCCTGTCACCGCCTTGTACACCAGTTCCCACCAGGAATGGACAGCACCTGGAAACAGACCGTCACTCCAATTATCAGGAACCACGCTTTAAGGACATACTTAAGGACAAAATTGTCTTCTCCCAATTCTAATTCTAATACTTAAACGGACTATGTGCTATAATTTAATGTCTATTTATGTTATTGTATAGTTCTTCATAAACACGTTTGGATATACAAAATATATAGATTTGTTTGATATTTTTTGTATGTTGTTCCTTAAAGTATACAGGAATTTCCATCAATCCATATCCTGGGAGGAGGAATGGGCCATAATGGTGGATCAAACCTTTACAAAGGAATCCATAAGAAAATTCTTTTAAAATCTTCCTTTCAAGAACGGCAAAGCCGTGATTGTTTATATTTATATGGAAGCATTTTCAGGTAGTGTAGATTAAAAGATATTAAAACCATCCCCGCCTCCCCTAGAGGGTACAATGGGTGATAATCTTTTTATATTGAAAAAAAAAATCTTTAAAACTCTTCACAAGAACAACAAAGCAATGACTGATCTTAATAATATAAAAGCATCCTTATAAGAAGTGTAAAATGTAGATTCAGGTTTTTTAAAATCATTTGCATTCCCCTCCACCACCATCACCATTTTTTTAGTTAAACTTATCAATACGGAATTGATTTTTGCTTTTTTCATGCCAAAGGGCTCAGGTGAGCAATGTGGCCCATGGACCTCTTGTTCGTGATGCAATACATGTATACATGTACCATTAACATTATCACCTGCATGCTAAGTTTATCGAGCCCCAGTTACTTTCATAATTTTTTGTACATAAATTAAATATTTGAGCTTTTTGACATGATTTTTTTTCGTCATTATCTTTATATTTCATCTAAAAATATATTATCGAAAAAGGCACTTGAGGATCGTAGACTGTAGAATTATATTTCAATACAACTTTCAATGAGTTTATATTATATATATATATATATATATATATATATATATATATATATATATATATATATATATATATATATATATATATATATATATATATATATATATGTATGTGTTTGGTAACATAATGTTTACATTGGTATTATTAGGTCTTTCCACCTTTCTGTGGAAAGACCTCTTGAAATGCTTCTGTTTTTAGGTCTTTCCACCATTCTGTGGAAAGACCTATTGATTTCCTTCTGTTTCTTTTTTTCCTTTTTCTTATTATTTTTTATTATTTTTCCGCCGTGTGATTTTGAGTTTCAAGATTTATCGTAAAGATTTTCAATTCATAAGAATGTACTCCGTAAAAGATTTTCGCAGTTGACCCTGCGTATATAAACTATGACCCCTTTCGGAGTTATTACCCCTTTCGCAAAAAAGCTTGTTATCGCTACTCCTCCGAAACCATAAACCGTAGAGAAATGAAACCTTCACTAATGTCTTCGACTAATTTAGTAGACACTTCATTGATTCATTGCGAAAGTATTCATTGACCCCTTCAATAAGTTATTGCCCCTGGAAGTTTTAGAATTTTACAAATAATTAAAAATTTTCAAAACGAGAAGACGTAGAGACATGGGACCAAATGCATAAGATTCATTGACCTTTGGTCTTGAAATTTATGGAAAGGTCAAAGGTCAAGGTCATTCCAAAACTGAGAAATTTAGCTCTTTTTATATCTCTTTTGTCTTTTAACATATACTTAATGTCTATGCATCATTAATATGTACTTTTAAAACTGTTTCAAAGATTTTATTCTTGTCCCCCAACATGAACCAATTTAAAAGTTATTGCCCCTTGTGCGAAAAACCTTGTTATCGCTACTCCTCTGAAACTTTAGACCGTAGAGACACCAAACCTTCACTAACGTCTTAAGGGTCTTTAGACCTAACTTCACTGTATAGGTGCAAAAGAATCTGATGACCCCTTGTATGAGTTATTGCCCTTTAACTTCTTTATACTTACTATTAAACCTTGTATCTTGAAAACTATAAATGGTAGAAGCATGGGGCCAACTGCATTGTGACCCATGACCTTTGACCTGGAATATTTTGTCAAGGTCAAAGGTCAAGGTCATTGCAAAAATGAGAAATTAAGCTCTTTTTATATATCCTTTGTCTTTTAACATATGCAATCAGTCTTTGCATCATTAATATGTACACTTAAAACTATTTCAAAGATTTCATTCTTGTTCCCCAAGATAGACTCTATCAAAAGTTATTGCCCCTTATGCGAAAAACATTGTTATCACTACTACTTCAAAACTGTAGACCGTAGAGGCATGAAACCTTCACTTATATCTTAAGGGTCTTTAGGCACACCTTCATTGTATAAGTACTAAAGGATCTAATGACCCCTTATATGAGTTATTGCCCTTTAACTTCTTTATACTTACTATTAAACCTTATATCTTGAAAACTATAAATGGTAGAAGCATGGGGTTAATTGCAATGTGTCCCTTGACCTTTGACCTTGAAAATTTTTTCAAGGTCAAAGGTCAAGGTCATTTCAAAATTTTTTTTTTTTTTACATTTTCATTTTTTTTTTCAAGCCATTTCCCTTAAAATTAAATTTAGAGTGTAAAATATAAAACTATAAGAAATTTAAAAAGGTGGAAAGACCTCTTATTGTTCTATGAACAATAAGTCTCCTAGTTATTATTATTTTTCCGCTACGGACTTTTGAACCGAAAGACTTATCGAAAAACTTTTTAGTTCATGATACTCGACATCAAAAGTTATTTCGAAAAACAACCCAACGTATATGACCTATGACCCCTTACGGAGTTCTTGCCCCTTTTATGTAAAACCTTGTTATCGCTACTCCTTCGAAACCGTAAACCGTAGAAATATGAAACCTTCACTAAAGTCTTCGACTAATTGAGAGCACTCTGGAATCTATTCATTGCGAAAGTCTTCGGTGACCCCTTCAATGAATTATTGCCCCTGAAACTTTTTGAATTGTAGAAATAATTAAAAATTTTCAAAACGAGAAGTGATAGAGACATGGGACCAACTGCATAAGATTCATTGACCTTTGGTCATAAAATTATTGCAAAGGTCAAAGGTGAAGGTCATTCCAAAATTGAGAAATTAAGCTTTTTTATATCTTTTTTGTAGCTTAGCATATACAAACTGTCTTAGCATCATTAATATGCACTCTTAAAACTATTTAAAAGGTAAAATTTGTATTCCGTAAGATTGACCCCATTAAAAGTTATCGCCCTTTGTGGGAAAAACCTTGTTATCGCTACTACTTCAAAACCGTAAACCGTAGAAATATGAAACCTTCACTAAAGTCTTTGACTAATTGAGAGGACTCTGGAATCTATTCATTGTGAAAGTCTTCGGTGACCCCTTCAATGAGTTATTGCCCCTGAAACTTTTTGAATTTTACAAAATAATTAAAAATTTTCAAAACGAGAAGGTGTAGAGACATGCGCCCAACTGCATAAGATTCATTGACCTTTGAGCTTAAAATTCATGTAAAGGTCAAAGGTCAAGGTCATTCCAAAACTGAGAAATTTAGTTCTTTTTATATCTCTTTTGTCTTTCAACATATGCTTAATGTCTATGCATCATTAATATGTACTCTTAAAACTGTTTCAAAGATTTCATTCTTGTCCCTTAAGATTGACCCTATTAAAAGTTATTGCCCCTTGTGCAAAAAACATTTTATTTACTATTGCTCCAAAACCGTAAACCGAAAAGACATGAAAACTTCTCTAATGTCTGATGGGATTTTAGGCAAAACTTTTATGTTCAAGCGCAATAGGATCTGGTGACTCCTTGAATGAGTTACTGCCCTTTAATGCTTTTGTGCTTACTATTCAACCTTATAACTTGAAAACTATAAGTCATAGAGACATGAGGTTAATTAAAATGTGACCCTTGACCTTTGACCTTGAATATGATTTGAAGGTCAAAGGTCAAGGTCACCTGAAAAATTTAAAATTTTTATTTTTTTCTTCTTTTAAGCCATTCCTGGTTTCTTTTTTATGAAATTTAATCTTAAAGAGATAAATTATAAATGAAATTGAAATTCAGAAGGTGGAAAGACCTCTTATTGTTCTTTGAACAATAAGTCTCCTAGTTTATTTTATTTCTTACCTTATGTTTTGACACCGTAAGACTTATCGAAAAACTTTATAGTTCATGATACTGGATATTCAAAGTTATTCCGAAAAATGACCCCCCATGTTTTAACTTAGATCCCTTATGCAGTTATTGCCCCTTTCACCGAAAAGCTTGTTATCGCTACTCCTCCGAAACCGTAAACCGTAGAGATATAAAACCTTCACCATTGTCTTCAACTAATTAAGGAGACTTTTCAATCTATTCATTGCGAAAGTTTTCTTTGACCCCTTCAATGAGTAACTGCCCCTGAAAGTTTATAAATTTTACTAAAAATTAAAAATTTTCAAAACGAAAAGTCTTAGAGACATGAAACCAACTGCATAACATTCAATGACCTTTTCCCTTCAAATTCATTTCAAGGTCAAAGGTCAAGGTCATTCCAATTATGAGAAATAAATTTCTCTTAATAGCTCTTATGTCCTTAAACATATGCGATCTATCTTATGTCTTTAATATGTACTTTTGAAACTCTTTAGAAGATATAAATCTTGGCCCCTAAGATTGAGCCTTTTAAAAGTTGTTGCCCCTTGTGCTAAAAACCCTTGTTATCGCTACTCCTCTAAAACCGTAAACCGTAAAGGTATGAAACCTTCACCAATGGCTTTGCCTAATTATGGAGACTCTTCAATCTATTCATTGCGAAAGCATTCGGTGACCCCTTCAATGAGTTATTGCCCCTGAAACGTTTTGAATATTACAAATAATTAAAATTTTTTAAAACGAGAAGTGATAGAGACATGGGACCAACTGCATAAGATTCATTGAGCTTTGAGCTTAAAATTCATGTTAAGGTCAAAGGTCAAGGTCATTCCAAAATTGAGAAATTAAGCTCTTTTTATATCTTTTTTGTCTCTGAACATATACAAACTGTCTTAGCATCATTAATATGTACTCTTAAAACTATTTTAAAGATT